TAGTTGATGAACTGGGACCATTATACAAAATTTTGTTTTTTCATCAGATCGATTTGCTGTTTAGTTGACTTAATCAGATTTTAAGTCGCCAAAGTTTCATTCAATTCAATAAATAGATAAATAAATGAATAAATAAGTGAATGGATAAATAATGAATAATAATAAGTGAATAAATAAATAAATAAATAAATGAATAAATAATTAAACAAATAAATAATGTAAATAAATAAACAAACAAATAAACAAATAAATAAATAAATAAATAAATAAATATATATATATATATATATATATATAATGTAAAATAGTAACAATAATACGAAGTATTAGTCTAAATCACAAAATAATCAGCAGCAGAAACTATATAAACGAGAGATATTATAATTCTTTTGGATATTTGAATGCAATGATATTACAAAACGCAAAGAGTTGAATGTTGTGAAATCCGTCCATCAAACATCGGATGGTATTTACAGATTAAATTAATTTTCTGATAGAGTGATGAATAGCTATTTCAACGTCTGTGGAACTACTTCAGTACCTTCATTTAATCAGTATCATTTATCATGAAGATTAAACCATGTGGATTCAAATTGCGTCCATACCGTTACAGTCGCTTTAATCAGCTTACATTCTGCATGAAATCATGTTAAATTTAATTTAAGTTGCACGCTACTAAGAAAACTTGCAATACTGTGATTGCCGCGTCCTCTTACGAAGAGGATATTAAACTGTGAAAATCAGGCTGAATTAAAATAACGAAAAATCATCGTTCAACTCAAAAGACAACTAGGATTAAAATAACACAAAACTCATGTCACTTCTCCAGTAATATCAAATCACAACATTCATAAGAATTGAACTTATCCTATTAATAAAAAAGCCCTGGGAAAAATTAAAAAACGAATAAATCCATGTCTAAATGGCTCAAGAAAGAAAAGCAATAATAATAATAATAATTAATAATAACAATAATAATAATAATGATAATAATAATAATAATAATAATAATAATAATAATAATAATAATAATAATAATAATAATAATAATAATAATAATAATAATAATAATAATAATAATAATAATAATAATAATAATAATAATAATAATAATAATAATAATAATAATAATAATAAT